CTCTCAATTCGCTAAATATTCATCTAGCATGAATTATCCTTTATCTCGTTGTCTATTTCTCTACTTAGTTTTGGCCAATTCTCCTTTGATTGTATCTTTCTATTAATCAATCTCGGGTTCCGAAATCCTCGCTCTTATCGTACCCACAACCTTCACCATTGGCATGCTTTTTCTTCTTCTCTTGCATTTTATTGAGATAAAAAATTTAATGGTGATGAAATATAATTTCTGTGCAAGTAAAAATTTACTTTTCCTTATATGCCGAACTGCATTCTCACTTATTGAGTGTGCAATGTTGTAACTAGTTATCTTGATATGAAAGTCTCCATTTGTAGAAGATAAGGGTGGGGATGTCATCTCATTCTATCACTCGCTTGATTTTTTTTTCTTTTTTCGTTGAATGCTTCAAGTAGCTTTCTTTCTAGCTTACATTAAAAGAAAAAATATATAGCTTCCATGTGATCAAGAAACAACAAAGTTAGATTTAGTGGTTTTGTCCATAATATGGAATTGGATCCTGGATCTGTAAAATGACAACAAATGAGATTCATTATTTAGTAAAAATAGTTAGTAACTTGGTATGATACTTTTTTCACGACTAAATGAATGCGAAGTTGGAAAAATAGAAGAGTAGAGTGAGATTTTGGAATCTAAATTTTCTTTAAACTCTACCACACAACAAAATACATAATTTCAAATGACATTAGTTTCACCATAACTCAAAGTCAATCACTTGCAGAATTTTTAGATTTGCCAGCGGTATCGACCCCACAATGTAGAGGAAAATTTATAATTTCGAAAATTATAGTACTTTTATTGCATTTGAGGTACACATACTGATAAGTATTTGCAAATTCAAGTTGTTTTTCTAGTCATGAATATATAGTAATTATATTTCCATAATGATTTACAATTATGCTAACTTAAATATCTGCTTACCTTCAATTTTTAAGATCTAAATGAAGCATGATTCGACTGATTGAATGATTTTTCAAGGACAATATTTATTTGGGATGTAGAACTGCAAAAATAATTACTAAAAACAATATGAAATATATATAATCTGAATAATAATTGAATTAAAACATACTTAATGACTAATTAATTGAGATTGACATCTTAGACATAATGATGTTGTCATTTTTTGGCATAATACTATGGAACTATTTGCCTCAACATGCAGAACCACCTTGGAGGATAAATAAAAATCACATAGCAAGAAATTCATGACAATTCGATTAACCATCCATCCCTAAGCATGTTTTATTGTGACTATATTTTATAATGGATTATCTTTATAGAAAACAATTTATTAGGGGCAATTTATCACGACTAAACCTTGAATTTTTAATCCATAGATGTTGTAACATCGATCGAAACTTATTACAATTAGAAGCCTTCAATTCTAGGAACTAAATATTGAAAACACATTCATAATTAAGAAAGGCATTGCGAGGCTGAATATTTTTACAATAATATAGGTTAGGGATGACAACTTTGACCTAACACATTTTATCCGATCTATTTGACATGTTTTGGAGTGAATAATATCCATGGTACTCTCCTCGATCTGAATGATATGTAATTTTACTTAAACTAATTAGGATTTAACTTTTATGGCATCATATTTTAGCAATAATAAAGTTTTAAATATGCACGAATCTCAATTTCTTGAATAATTTAAATACAATTATCATATCCTTGAATAGTTTTAGATTTGTATCACATAATAAATTATCTTACATAATACGGACGAACAGATATAGATATGCATATAATCGTCTTCAATTTCTAATGCCGGATGGACTGATGATGCAGTGATAAGTCCAAGGTTGTCATCCCGCGGGTCGAAACACCAATTGACTCATTTTGATCTTGACCTGGTGAGAAAAATGGGCCACACACCCGTCGGGTCGACCGCTGCAAGTTACCAAATTGGAGGTCAAACTATGTCTTTTTTTCCTTTGGTTCGTAAAATGCTCCTATTTTCCGATTTTTCTTTTCTCCTAACCTAATCTTTGAGATTCTAAGTTGAACATTTTAATATTGATGTTATATATGTGTGTGTGAATTTTCACTATATGTTGGATGCAAGTACAAAATGTTATTTTTGTGTAATGTTACATGTTATTACTCATATGTTATATGAGATTTAATATAATTTATAGATGTATAATAATATAATATATTTTCATATAGTCGAGCTAAACCGAACTAAAATGGACAATTAACTCTCAACCCACTTGCTCGATCGATCCAATTTGCTAAACCGGTTGACAACCTTAAATTAGTCGAAATTGTTGAAGTTGAGTAATGGAGCTTGAATTTTGAAACAATGATACCGCCACAGTTTTGTTGCTTGAATTGTTAATTTATTGTTATCAACAATTGGAGCATGAGTTTTAATAAGTATTTTATTTGTATCTCAATTTAATTAGGCTTTTAGCCCCAGATAGTAACGGAGCAGATGAGTAAACAAAAGGACTATATAGTCCTTCCGTTCTATGCTCATAAGCAAGGAAAAATTGGATTGAGTGTGCGCTTAAGGAGAATCTCCATATATAAATTGTAGGAGGATTCTTTGAGCATTAAATCCTGGGCTCTGGTCCGCTCCATGTCAGATTTTATTATCGGGTCGTGTCGGGTTGAATTATGTTTCAATCTCGTAGGGTTTTGATTTCGATTAAAATAATAATAAAAAATCAATAAGAAACTAGTAAGAAATCAACAACATATACTCTAACTAAGTTAATACCCATCAACAACATACATTCTCATCAACTTTTGTGTTATAGACTTCTTTACCATCTTCAGGCTTTCTGTTGTCTTTCCTTACTCCATCTTTTGACTTCCCAAACTATAGGCTTGTTTTATCCAAACAAACTGTTTGTGCCACGTAACCTCCCTCTCCTGAAGACTCTCACACGCCCCCGATCTCCCGTGCGCGTCCGCTTCGCGTCCCCCCCCTTCCTGCACACAAAGGCGCCCACCGAGCCCTTGGGAAGGGCTCGTTAGCACTCCGACGCCCAAGTCAGAATGACCTTTCTAGAGAGAGAAGTGGGATGTAAGTTTTAGAGAGAAGTTGGAACCTGAGTAAATGAGCTCCACCCACTTCACTATTTATACTGAGGTAGGGTCGATCATTGCCCCCCAAATCCGCCCCACGTCATCACCTCATTAAATGCACTGTACCTTACCCCTTTCATGCGCCCCGACACTCTGACACAACCTTTTGCCCCGGAGGCGCATGGCCCCGCCTCTTGTCCCCTCCGTACGCTTTTAACCGTTGCCACCCCTTTTGTCGCCATGCGCCCCTCCGTAGGCCTGGTCCCACCAACTGGGTCACGGCCTCTAGCCCCCACTTTTGGGCTGGGCCTTCTCCTTGCCCGGCCCACACTTCCAGCCCATCACGACCCCTTGGGCCCCTTATTTGGGCCTCTCCTTATATGCCCCCAACACAAACCAAAATCGTTCAGATATTTATCGATTTTCGATTAACCATTAATTTATAAAGCATTTAACGATTTTCATTTTGATTTTTGCAAATTTGCCTCAATAATTTTATTATGTTTTTCATGTTTAGTGATTTGGTTAACCAAACCAAATCAAACTGACAACTAACTCATCACAACCCACAAGAATTGGACACCACTCAGCCACCTGCATCGACAATTGGCATTCCAAGATCAAAAGAGCAAAGAGCCTAAACTCAAAGACCACTCTCAATTACTATGTAAACTATTGAATGCTATGTTTGGGAAGGGGTAGAAGGGAGGGGAGCAAATTGGGGGTGCAAATGCATTTTCCAATTGGATGTTTTGCAATAGTGTTGGGTGTACAATTGAGGGGTAAATGCACTATTTTAGCTTATCCTCCAATTTGGGGTGCAAAGGAAGAGAGAAAGAGAGGGAGAAGGGATGAAAAATCAAATCAAATAAATATGAATATGAAAATGATATGTGTATTATTACTATTATTAATAATTATTATTTGTCATTATCGTTATCATTAATGTGGACGTTGTGAGGGTCGTCGATTGATTACAGTGAGCAAGTGAGGGAGGATGGATCAGAAATGACTAATGTTAAAAATTATGTTGATTTATATTTTATTATTAAGTTTAATCATTATTTAATGAATAAAAATATAATGAGTAACAATTATGTTATATTATAATAATTAAAATAATTACATAAAGTATATGTTGTTCGGTGTTCACGTTTAACTCCGTTGAGAAAGTTTGTCAAAGTTCGTGTGGTCAAATCGAGATCGCTTGGTTGACTTGGTTTAATTTACATATTTGAACGTGATATGATATATCGATTACACTGGTTATGGTTAAATTAGGCACGAGAATTTCTGTAGGATGACCAGTTGGATCTCGAGGTTCGAGATCGCTCGACCAACGATTATTACATTTGTTAAAATTTACATGTTCAACAAATCAACGCCCGGGTAAGAGACATGAGCTAGTTATATGTCTTGGCCACGGATTGGGCTTCGAGCATACTCATTTGAGGTTCCTCGACCAATGATGATTTTTATGGAGCCAACAATGTTATTTATAAATATTTATAATTAATTACAACCTGAGCATTAGTATTTTAATATTATTTTATTAGAATATATTTTTTAATATTATTTCATATTTATTTATGTGTGAATATTTTGTGATAATCTTGTATTAATTTGATATATCTAATATATACTAATATAATTTACTTACTTTTCACCAATTTGTACCATCTATTTTTTCATCCAAATAACAATTTACCCCTCAATTTGCACTATCTCTCGAATTTGCACCCGATGTAAAGTATAATCCAACTGTTGAGAGTAGTCGCTTTCATCAACTTAATTGTCCGGCTCAGGAGTCAGGCTTGTTGGGTCGGGGTGGACCAGACCAGGACTTAGAAACAACTTAAGTACTTAACAAATTAACATCCAATTAAGGAAACAAAATTCAAAAACAGGGCACTCTGTAGATATAAAAATATTTGAATCAATAAAAGAAACAGAAATCTAGAGAAACTCGTCGGTTGGATTGGATATATTTGGGTGGTTTAGTCTCTAGTCTGTGCTCCCATGACGACAGAGCATATGAAAAAAGGAAAATGAAAAGAAAAAACAAAGAATGGAAAGTTTCCCTGTTTCCATACGGATTGGCTTTGGCCCCTGGTTTTGCCATTTCCCTCGACACAGTTCTTCCCCCATTACCATGTTCTGCATCGCCTGCCGTTTCTTCCTTTATATTCCTCTTCCACCGCCATTTCCAACTTGGAGATATCCATTTTTCCTATCATCCTATTCCTACCACCTCCCCTTTTCTCGATTCCAGAGTCACACAAGCTTTTTCCAACTCCAAAGCTGCGGTATTTTTTTACATTTTCCGCTCTCCTGGGTTTCTCGTTCTCAATCTGAGATTTGGGTTTGTTGGGGAGAAGGAGAAAGTTACCGTCTTTATTAATTTTGGCTGGGAACTGCCATGACGATTGAAGCTGTGGCAGAGGCGAGAAGCGACCCAATGGCTAGGCAAGTGAAGAGGGCTGGATATGCAGGGCGGAGCGTTGTAGAGAGAAAGAGAGGTTATAAGAAGAAGGTTAAGAGGTCATCATCACCACCTCAACCCTCTTCAGCTTCAATGGCGCTCCAGAATCTCTTCCAGTCTTGTAAAGATGTGTTCAAAGGTCCTGGCACCATTCCTCTGCCTCCTGATGTCGATAGACTGTGCCACATACTTGGTAAGCGCTACTCACGAATTCTCCCATTCATTAGCCAATTTTATTGCATGGATGGGGTTTGTGGGTTGATCAGCGATCAGTGATATGATTTCTTAGATTCGAGGGGAATCCGTCATCTCTTAATTGCAATGATAATGTAGGTTAGTGAACCAGATACTGATGTTGGGAGCTTGAATTCGTTGATTCTTTCTGAAAGTGGTGGTGAGGTGACAGATGGTGATGTGATGTTGATCTAAGAAATTGAGAATCTTTATCTTTTCCCCCATGTTTTTGCTGGTGATCTATAATTGGGTCAGAATCCAAAACTGGTATCACTAACTGTTGTGGAATTTTCCCACCGATCCAAGGCTCTAGATAGGAAAGCTTGTCCTTTTTCCCACTTTTTGTTGCCTGGCAGTGAGGTGGGTGATTCATTCATTCTCACTTGGTGTGTAGTGATACCCTTTGCTTCTTTATCTCTTAAACCGTTAGTTTCATTAGTTCGGCCTTTGGTAAGGTTGCATCATTCATCGGATTAGGTCACTGATTCACTCTGCTCAATTTGCACCAGATCTGATCTAGTTTCCATGGTTGCGTACCTTGTAATAGTGAATCTTAAAATAGAGGTTTCCTTTCATGTGAACAGTAAGTAACTTAGGGAAGGATCTTGTTTTGGAGCTAGTCAAAGTCAAGAGCGTAGGAGTCTTTCCTCCTAAAATTAAGACAATACTATTAAGAAAATGTTGGGTTCATGGTTTTGCATGCAGAAATGATGGAAATTTGTTCTGGATTTCTGTTGGGCTGTGGTTGTTTTTATATGGTGCAACACAATCCACCACTTTTGACTATTGCTTTGTTACCTTACATATTAATATATTCATGGACCCCCATTTAATTGTCCTTGTTTCAGGGTTTGATTTCTTCCTCTATCATTTGTCATGTGAGGGCCTCCTTCAAAGACTAGAACTTCATTTGAGAATAAGAGTGTAGCTTTGATAATTAGCAACTAATCATTTAAAAAGCTAGGATAGAAAACAAGGAATCCCCTTTCTTTGTCCTCTTGGTCCTCCTTGGAATCTTTCCCATTTTGAGCAGTATGGCTAATAAACTATGTGCTGCCAAGTCCTTTTGGGGGTCTTTCTAATATTAAATTACTTTCAACATGCTACTTCAAATTCAGTAATCCCCATGATTGATTGATTAAATAAACATATCTTCTATTTTATAATCCCTTCTTGGTGTTTGGCAGACAATATGCAGCCAGAGGATGTTGGCCTAAGCAGCAAGTTGCAGTACTTTAACCCTAATAATAATAATGCTCTAGTAGTCCAAGGCACTGTTAATCATCCTAGAGTCAGCTACACCACAATTTACCAATCCACCAACTTCTCTGTGAGTTACCTTTATCTTCTTACTACTGCTTATATACATTCACTACTTGCATGAATTTGCCTCGGTCTTACTTATCGAATATACGATTGCTTGCGATGCAGTTGTACATTTTCTTTCTCCCTGCTGGTGGTGTGATCCCTCTCCACAACCATCCTGGAATGACGGTATTCAGCAAACTCTTGCTAGGAGAGGTCCACATCAAATCCTACGACTTAGTTGACTGCCAGCAGGCTTCGAGTTCTAAACGTGAGTATGCGTTTTATCACTTTTTTCGCGCTTTAAATTAATGAATTCTGGGAACATCCTGATGATTGAGATTCAGCAACTAACCTGTGTGCTATGGCTTTTCCGTGCAAGCAGTGAGGCTGGCCAGGTTGGTAGCCGATAAGGTCTACGAAGCTCCATGCGACACATCGGTACTGTATCCAACGACAGGAGGCAACATTCACCAGTTCAAGGCAGTTACTCCGTGCGCAATCCTTGACGTGCTGGGTCCTCCTTATTCGAGGGAAGATGGGCGCGACTGCTCATACTACCGGGATTTTCCTTACCAAGACTTCTCGAGTAAGCGAAGCTTAAAAAAGGTTCAGAATTATGCTTGAATTTGTGAAAATAGTAATCATTCGAGGATTTGGTTGAGTAACTTGGACTAAAAGAAAGGGTTTTGAATGATCCATATGCAGGGAATTGTGAAGGGGAAGAGGGAACACTGATGGCAGAAGAGGAAGGGCGAGAGTATGGATGGTTGGAAGAGGTTGAAATGCCTGAGGAATCACAAATGGACGGGATTGAGTATCTAGGTCCACAGGTTGTTGAGAATGGAACCTGCTTCTGCTGATTGAATTGCCTGAAATGGAGATAAAGCTCCTCTTTTTGTTGGTCATGTTGAGGGGTCGTCATTTTTCTGTTTCTCCTGCATGGTCCTTTCGCAAGCTAGTTAGATTTTGTTGATAGAGAGAGGGAGGGAGAGGAACAAAATAGAGTTACTTTTTTTTTCTTCTGGTTTTGGTGTGTACAGTTTTCAGGGCTGGTCCTAGAGAAAGAGAGGCAAAGAAAGTGCGATACTTTCTCTTGTCTTCGTGACATGAGTCATTCATGTCCTGCAGTGTAAATCTGACCACGACTTGAGGTATCAGTTTGTAGCCTTATTTCCCGAAGAGTTTGAGTATGGTATCTGCAAGAGTAGGGAATTGGTTATGATATTGTATTCCATGGTTAATGGAATTTAGCCTTATTTGGTTTGGTTATAACCATGGTAACCATTTGAACACCCCAGCAAGAGAAGCCTCAGTTATTTCCCGAGATTTTTCCAGAAATAGCACTGTTTAAAAAATAAATTTCAAAAATAGCACCCATCTCCGAAAAATTCCAAAAATAACATCATTTTTGTAAAACCGCCACCCGGAGGTGCGTTTTTCGATGAAAACGCCACTCGAGGGCGCGTTTTTCGATGAAAACCGCACTGGTAGGGAGCGGTTTGGCAGACCGCACCCCCAGGGTGCGTTCTGCCTTTTTTTTTTTTTTTTGCAAACCGCACCCCCAGGGTGAGTTCTGTTTTTTTTTTTTTTAAATCCTAACTTAGGTGGAAACTTCAAACGAACGTATCTTTATGTTCGGGTATCCGATCGTCGCGATTTTTTTTTTTTATTCCGCATAACTTTTTGAGATCTTGCAAGCCGAAGACTGCCAAAGGTGGTTTGGTCTCGCCTTCGTCCCAAAAAATGTCGTTTGCTACCCTGAACGAACTTTTTTCCGATTTCGTCAAACTTTAGACAACCATAACTTTGTGCTCCAAAATCCAAACGTCATGAATTTTTTTTTTATTTCGCATAAATTTTTAAGGAATACAACTTTTATCATAGACATAATTTCAAAATGTACGTGGATTGCTGAGAAGGGAAGATAAGCTATTCCCAAAATCCTGTATATCCAAAAATAATTCCTGTTTTGAAAATACATTCCTAGTAAAAATTGTAGTCCTTAAAAAGTTATGCGAAATAAAAAAAAAGTCATGCCGTTTGGATTTGGAGCACAAAGTTACGGTTGTCCAAAGTTTGACGAAATCGGAAAAAAGCTCGTTCGGGGTAGCAAACGACATTTTTTGGTATGAAGGCGAGACCAAACCACCTTTGGCAGTCTTCGGCTTGCAAGATCTCAAAAAGTTATGCGGAATCAAAAAAAAAAAAAAAAAATCGCGACGATCGGATACCCGAACATAAAGATACGTTCGTTTGAAGTTTCCACCTAAGTTAGGATTTTCAAAAAAAAAAAAAAAAAAAAACAGAACGCACCCTGGGGGTGCGGTTTGCAAAAAAAAAAAAGGCAGAACGCACCCTGGGGGTGCGGTCTGCAAAACCGCTCCCTACCAGTGCGGTTTTCATCTCCCTACCAGTGCGGTTTTCATCGAAAAACGCGCCGTCGGGTGGCGTTTTTATCGAAAAACGCGCCCTCGGGTGGCGTTTTTATCGAAAAACGCACCTCCGGGTGGCGGTTTTACAAAAATGGTGCTATTTTTGGAATTTTTCGGAGTTGGGTGCTACTTATGGAATTTATTTTTTAAACAGTGCTATTTCTGAAAAAATCTCTTATTTCCCCGTGTGTCTAGTCTGTATGTGCGTGGAGAGAGGAGACATTAAGATTAGTTTGATAGCATGGCAACAGCTACTTAGCTGTTAGCGACTCTCTCAGCGTTCCATTGGGGCATTCTCAATTAGATGTTCATATATCGTTGTCAAATAATTACCTTTCGCCGACCGAGGTGGAAGAAACCATTGGGGCATTCTCCGGCTATCGATTTCGATATGGAACTGCCTTGGTTCCGTCTATTGAGACGGAGATTAAGCTTTGTTATGTTGTGTACAGGCGCTCTTTGTTAACCCGTCGGGTGCGCAGCTGTATGCCTGTGTAGGTGGTCCCCACGCGGGGAGCTCCGGGGCTTTTTCCGCTCGACCGCACCTACATGACTTTGAGGGTCGTTTGGATTAGGGATTGTATTTTGAGGAATTTATGAGAGATTTGAGGCCCAAATTCCTTAATTAAAAACCCACATATTTGATATAAAAGATTTGGGCGATTTGAGGCCCAAATTCCTTAATTAAAAACCCACATATTTGATATAAAAGATTTGGGCCAAATTTTTTATTTGGTATGGATAAGAGTTTTTAACAAAAAATCAATATTACAGTTTAACCCTTCATCTATTCATTGCCCTTCCTTTACCTGCGTTTCCAAACCAGCCGATTCACAACACGCTGTCGTCGTTCACCTCGCTGACCCTCTCGACGGTTTCTTTCTCGTCTCCGACTCTTTCTCCCACAGTCCTTTCACTCTAACACGCTTTGTGTCCTAATTGCGCTCTTTGCGGTTCGATTCTATGATTTCGCGCGGACTCAACCCAAAATACAATCAAAAGGGCGAAAATTTTATCTTATTAACTTTAACATTCAGTTCGAACATTGATAGCTGAAAACTACACTCCTAACACGGGTCAAGTGTAACCAATGAAAGAAATTACAATATAGTGGTAGAAAGTAATAAAATTATCGAACCCTATGAACTCTAGATGTACCTGTCAAGAACCAGTTGATCCCAATAACTCCGAGTTGTTGAGAGAGGCCCATGTATGGATATTAACCACCTTTCACACGTCCCCTCAAACAAAACTCAACTCATGGGTGTGAAATTTGCACAGGCTCCCCCATATAATATGTTTTGAAACAATGATAAATATTGGGGTCGTAAGTACGTTACGGGACCTTAATGACAAACCAGCTCTGATATCATGTAAAGAACCAGCTGTACCCAATAGCTCGATTTATTTGGAGAGGTTCAATAATGGGTCTTATTCCACAAACTAACACCCCCCCTCAAACGAAGCTATTCATATAGGCTTGAAGTGTGCACAAACATCAGACACCTTGAGCTTAACGAATGGGGATCACCAGGATTCATACAGAAGACCTCATTCATAGAAGGATCTGATATCATGTTAAGAACTAGTTGATCAACTCGAATTGTTGGGAGAGGCCCATGTATGGATCTAACCACTTTTTTTACAGGACCATTACTCAACTTTGGTTCGTTATCTAGCGAAATAAAATTTTAGGTTTAACAACTAATCTACTCCAAGGGTTAAACTAATTACAAGGGCTCACTCGGGTATTGATTCCCCCTGGTCACTAGCCATATTGAGATTGATAAACCTCTAACTTTTTCACTCGATGTCTATAATGCAGAGACTCTATGTCTAAGTCTTGAATCCCGATTACAACAACCCTCTTGAGTTGGTAGATTAGAGGGATGTATCCTCACTAGCACAACCGAATCAAGGTGCCTACACCAGAAATCTATTTTTATACACTTGCAAAATTCACCACTTATAATAAATTACCACCGCTCTGATAATGTGTAAAGTTAACTTGAAGACTAAAGAAGTAGGAGATGCCAATGTTAAAATTTGAGTACTGATTACTCAAGTCATTTCATCTTCCATGATCATGTTGAGTTCTTATCTTGACCTTATCCAACTTCTGATAAATAGTAAATAGATAACCTGACACAATTATTTTCAAGCATAAACAAAAATAAATTATGCTTAACTCAAAAAAATATTTGACAGAATAGGGCAAGAAAAGCTCCAAAGCAAGGGAGCAGCCCAAATGCCCACATTGAGCCAACCAGTGGGGCCTTTAAAAGGAACCTCGAGGATGTGAACTATGAAAAGGAAAAGAAGGGACCATGCAAACAAAACCAAGGCCAAAAAAATGCTCTGCTCACCTCACTCTGAAACCGAAAGCTTACTATTTTACTATTCTTTTCCCCTCCCCAGTCTCCATCTCATTCCCCACCACTAATCACTGTTTGTACTCTGATTGTCTCCTTTAAAAATGGTTCCTTCATTTCAATTCCCCCCTTCTTTCCTTTCCTTTCCCTTGCTTTGCTTTGCATGCATTTCTTTCATGCCCTGAACTGGAAGGAATAAAGCCTCTGCGCCCCACATCAAGAATCTTTCTTTTCGCTCTTTTTATCCATGGCGGTGGCCTAATTATTGTTCTCTTTTTTTCAGAGGCATTCTACACTTGGTAAACATATATCTTTCAACTTGAGGAACCAAAATTTGAAACCCCAAATCAGCTTCTTTCTCTTAAGTCAATCTTCCATTCCCTGTACAGGACTGCCTATTTTGGTTAGCAGGTATCTCTCTGTCACTCCAATCTGTCCAATTTAGTTTTTGGTCCAGTAGACTGCAAGTGGGCTCAGTGATCAGTAGAGTTTTCTAGGAGAAGGGTCTCTCCGGTCCCAACCTTCACTTTCAAAGTTGGGTGAATTTGATCAGATTTTGTTTTCAACTGTTTATTTTTCTTCCTTTTTATGTTAAAGTCTGGGGCTTTCTTTCTTTTTCTGCTGCTCATCAGGATTATTTCCCTAAATACAGTGAAAATTAAAAGTAATTCCCACAATACATCACTTTTATAAATATTTCCCAAAATACCAAAGTTTGAACCGGTTCGAGTTTGGCAAACTCGAACTAGTTAGTAGATCGACTGTAAAAGAATCGATCCATGTGCATCGAGTGAAGCAGCCACGATTGGCTGGAACAGGACGACGCGGATCGAGTGTAATAAACTCGATTTAGGTGGATCGAGTACGTTACACTCGAACTAGTTGACATGGATCGCTGACATAAGCAGCGCTCCACCGTAGATCGAGGTAAGAAGAATCGAACCACGCCGTTCGATGGCCAAGCCCGCGATTTAGTGGCGACGCGGATCGAGTGGCGGAAAAGCGATGCACGTGGATCGAGCACCATTGAATCGATCCATTTGACGCGGATCGATGACGTCAGGACCGCTCCACCGTAGATCGAGTTTGCCAGACTCGATCTGCGTCGTTCGATGTTTGTTCACTCGATCTGCAATCGACGCGGATCGATGGCAGGGAAATCGAGGCACTGGTTCGAGTCCTCTGTACTCGATCCACATCAACCACCTGCACCTATATATTCCCCCTCCCATTCCACCAAATCCCACACCACTCCATTCTTCTTCCTATTCCTCCCACCACTCTTGAAGAAAAAAATATGCTCTGTGGTTGCGGCTAAGCCCGATCTTCCGCATCAGATTTTTTTTCTTTAGTTTGGTACTTCTATCACTCAAAATTGCCGAGATGGATCCGAGTATTTACGATCCTAGATTATACATTCAAGGCGGACCGCGAGAAACCGATTTGTTGGATGAGCAACCTTACCATCGGTCTGAAAGTGTTTGGGCGGCAGATCCGGTAAGCACTTCCTCATTTACTTTTCTTTTTTTAAATGTGATAGTATTGTTCTAATTTTTTTTTGTATAATAATTAATATTTTTTTTTTCTACAGGAACAACTTGACGTAATCACCCATCGGTCGCTATCTCGCTTGCCTAAATGGGATGATCGTATCGAGCCCTTCATTGAAAGAGCGCGATTGCTGAGGGTGCGAAAGTTTGTGGGGATGGAGATGGACAACAACCTTCTTACGGCAATGGTGGAAAGATGGAGAAAAGAAACGCACACATTCCACCTTCTAGAGGGAGAGATGACGATTACGTTGAAGGACGTAGCCATGCTGACAGAGCTTCCAATCGATGGTGATGCAATAATTGAAAGTTCACAGAAACCATTGAATGGTTGGGGCCAATTTATAAGCGAGCGTTTAGGTATCAACATCCCCGAGGAAGCAGAAGAAGGTCGTCGTGTACCACCTCTACACAAGTCTATGTTATTGATACCTTGGCTAGTGAGGACCGTTGGGGAATTACCGGAGGATGCCACGGATGCTCAGATAGAGAGGTATGCTCGCATCTACCTTATTTGTTTGGTTGGAGGATTTTTGTTTCCGAACAAGTCTGGTGGAAATATGCATTGTATGTGGCTTCGAGTTCTTTTGGGAGATTGGGACGAGATTGGGAGAAAAAGTTGGGGATCTGCTTGTTTGGCCATGATATATTCGGAGTTGTGCAAGTGTACGGATCCGAAAACAAAGCAAGCGGGTGGTCCCATGTTCATCCTCCAACTATGGGTTTGGGAGCACCTTCCTACTTTCGCTCCGATCTGCCCTGCCAACAGCTGGGGTCCCGATGAGCCACTACGACAATGGGCTTATGGTGCTAGATGGATTGGAGCTATCACCTGTGGCTTTCCTGCAAATGTTTGGCCAACCACGAATCCAGAGTCAGGAGTCCAGATTGGTATAGGAGGGAGGTCAGGATCGTCGTTGTGAGCATAGAGAGGATGTTGTGGCACCATCGTGTAGTGAGGTGTGGGGGGCTCAAATTCCCCCTCGTCAACTTCCAGATCTTCACCATCTGAACTACTCATTGATTCTAACTCTTCGTCTTCCACGTCGCTTGCCTCGCTAGTGTACGGAGGACTTGGTTTATCCACATATGGATCATTGTTGATGCCAGATGCTGCTGTAGATGCTTGTCTGGGTGCCCTTATGTAATCCCATTCTCCACCCCATACTGGCCACTCCTGTCCGTCATGTTCCACCAATGGACCAGTTGCAGCTCGATCCTCGTATGTTGGCCATGGTGCATCATGCTGCACTCTGAAATCTCCTGAACCGGAAAAAGCTCCCGATCCTTCACCTTGTTCGGTATAACCACCCCCACCATATTGGCCAACAACTTCTGTCTCGACATACACCTCAGCAGTTGTAAATCTGTTCTCTGCAATAAATCTCATCATCATATTAACATCATCATCGTCAGACAAAACTGATCCTTCATATACAAGTGCATAATCCTTGTAAACCGGCATACGGTAAGTCATCTTGCATACTCTTCTCCCTCCTATGCAACATCGTTCCGCACAAATATGGCTGAGTTCTTGCCAAGTAAATATGCTCTTAATCGGGACAGTACTTGATTCACCATCTTCGTAGTCAATACTATCATGAAAATGGGTAATTCGACCATTCCACCGAATCAATAAGTCGAATTTTCGAAACTTTCTACCCATTTCTGCAGTTTATAGAAGCAGCTCATTACATACAGTACAAACAATTCTAAATTAATCTAAAATTCTAATACGCTCATTCAAACAACGTAAGCAGAACTTACCTCCAAAAATTTTCTTCTTTGGTGAGCTATGGTGCTCCAGCTGCTGCAGTTTGTGTTTGGAAGAAAGAAGATAGAAAGTAAAAGAGCTGCCAGAATGTGCTAAGTGAGGGCTTTTTATCATCGTAAACTGATGCAGTGGTTCGAGTCTAAAACACTCGATCTACACTAGTTCGAGTTTATTAAACTCGATCTACCCCATCCAATAATTTCCCCCCCTGCACCCTATTCTGGAACATGTCGGGCCGAAAGCGACTGGACAGAATTATTGAGCAAGTAGTTCGAGTTTAGTGCAATCGAACTACCCTAGTTCGAGTCCCTAAAACTCGATTTACTATAACAAAGAATCTTATCCCTGCAACCCTATCTGAAGCATGTCGGTGGGCCAGTGGTTCGAGTCTATTGTAATCGATTTACCTTGTTCGAGTCATAGGGACTCGATCTAGTGCAGATAGAGATCGAGTGTTTTCAAATCGTTGCACTGCATCGAGTTTCCCGGCGTCGATCTAGTTAAATCGAGTTTTCTATACTCGATCTACTTAATCGAGTGTATTGTCATCGATCTACATAGATCGAGTCGTTTGTCATCGATCTGCTTTGTTCGAGTTTGTCGTCGTCGATCTTGTTAGTAGTTCGAGTTTCACAAACTCGAACTCTTTGAAACTTGGGTAGTTTGGGAAAATTTTATAAAACTTATGTATTCTGGGAATTATGTATAATTTTTACTGTATTCTGGGAATTCTTCCTGCTCATCACTGGCCCAGATGGCTTGCTGGTTGCTGCAGAATTGGTTGCTGTTGGGTGGTCTTTTTGAATGCGTTTCAACAAGTGTGAAATGCAAGTTTATGGGGAATAAAATAAATAGCTTTGTCCTCTTTTTGTTTTTCTTCTGAAGTGGGTTTATGACGGTTTTGAAGAAATCTCAGTCTCTTTTGGGGAGATGGGTTGCAGACGCACTGTTTGTGGAATTTCCTCTTTGCAGTTCCCAGTTGCCTTTCCACTTGGAGGATTAACCAGTTACTTGTGGGTTTTGTGTTGCTTGCTACTGACTTAGCTGATTAAGCCCAGCCGAAAACAGGACTACTTGCTTAGAAAGGTAAGATTTTCTTCCTCCAAACATAACCCAAAATTTATCTGTTTTCTTTGTGCAATAATAGGAAGGCATTATTAGGTAGCTAAGTTTTCATCTGCAGAAACTCCTCTGAATTTCCATCAGAAAATGGTTAATTGTAAGCTTAATTGGCTGCTTCATGTTCTTGCCTTGTAACAGCTTTGCAAACTCTCTTCTTTTGGGTGGCAATGGAGGGGTTTCAGAACTCTGCTATAGTGGTACTACTTTCCGTGATCATCTTCCTTTCAATTAATCACTCAGAGCAACTCCAATCCTCCCAGGGTCAAACCCTCCTAAGGATTCCGCGGCTTTTGAGCAATCCATCCGTCTTAAGCACCTGGAACAGCTCCACTGATTTCTGCAGCATAGATCCCACTCTATCTGTAACTGTGGTCTGCTACGAGGATACCATAACCCAGCTCCACATCATTGGCAACAAGGGAAGCTCTCTTCTCCCTAAAAACTTTTCCATGGAATCTTTTGTCACAACTCTTGTCGCTCTTCCAACCCTCAAAGTCCTCACACTATCTTCTCTTGGTTTATGGGGTTCACTACCTGGCAAAATCGCTCGTTTGTCATCTTTAGAAATTCTGAACATAAGCGCCAATTTTCTGTATGATACCATCCCAGGAGAGCTCTCATCACTGTCTACCCTCCAATCACTGGCACTCGATGATAACATGTTTTCTGGGGAGCTGCCACTTTGGCTTGGGTCGCTCCCGGTACTGTCTGTTCTTAGTTTGAAGAAGAACATGTTCAATGGTACATTACCTAACTCATTAAGCAATTTGGAGAATCTCAGAGTTCTTTCACTTTCACACAACTACTTCCGTGGTGAAGTACCGGACTTTAGCCGGTTGACCAACCTTCAGGTGCTTGAGTTGGAAGATAATGACTTGGGAACCAAGTTTCCTCAGCTAGGGAACAAGTTGGTCACTTTGGTATTGAGCAAGAACAAGTTCAGAGATGGACTCCCTGCTGAATTAAGCTCTTACTATCAGTTGGAACGGGTTGATCTCTCAAATAATAACTTCGTGGGGCCATTTCCACCGTCGTTGTTGGCATTGCCTTCTGTTACTTATTTAAATGTGGCGAGCAACAAGTTTACTGGAATGCTCTTTGAGAACCAATCATGTAGTGATCAACTGAAGTTTGTTGACTTGTCATTCAACCTTCTGACTGGACATCTGCCTAAGTGTCTTCACCCCAAGAAAACTGTTGTATCAGATGGGAACTGCCTGGAAACTGTTGATGATCGAAGCCAAAACCCGGTTTCGTTCTGTCACAATGAAGCCTTAGCAGTTGGTGTCATTCCACAGTTGAAGAGCAGGGAAGGAAGAAGCTCTAAAACAGCAATTATTGCCCTGGGTGTAATTGGTGGAGTTGTTGGAGCCGTTGCACTGGTTGCTTTGGTTTTCTTGTTGGTTAGAAAGGTGAACACCCCGAAGGCGATCAAGAAACATCCAACGAGGCTAATTTTGGAGGATGCATCAGCTGGTTATCCATCCAAGTTGCTTCAAGATGCAAGTAAAGTTTTATAGTTTCATTTCCCCCCTCCATGTTTACTCTTCTTCTTTATATTTTGATGATACCATATCCATTTATACTGAACCAATGACCTATCAGTGCATTTGAATAACTTTACATCTAGGACACTGGGGTGCTGGTTGCTTAATCTTTTATGGTATAAGCGAGGTTGAAGTGTTATTATATCAAAAGAGAAAATCTGATAGCCCATTATGTTTGTTCCACCATGAAGGATATATCTCTCAAACAATGAGATTAGGAGCACTTGACCTCCCAGCATACCGGTCCTTTTCGTTGGAAGAGATCGAGGAGGCTACGAACAACTTTGAGTCATCAGCATTCATTGGTGAAAGTTCTCATGGACAGGTAATCTAATACAATTATAAACACTTTGCTCATCACTAGTTTCCTATAATTAGCTATTAGCTACTCACTTTGTCTTCTATGCTTTATGGTTATCAGATGTACAAGGGTAGGCTGAAGGATGGATCTTGTGTAGTGATTAGATGCCTGAAAATGAAAAGAAGCTACAGTACACAAACATTCATGCATCAGATAGAGCTGATCTCAAAGCTCAGGCACAGACATCTGGCAAGTGCTCTAGGGCACTGCTTCGAGTGCTACTTGGATGATTCGAGCGTCAGCAGAATATTTCTCCTCTTTGAACATGTATCAAATGGGAACCTAAGGAGCTGGGTCGCTGGTACAGTCATACCCTAATGAATCAAGAGTACAGATCTGCACCATAACTTCTCTTTTTGAACTGATAAACACATACTCGTTTCCACGAATGCAGAGAGACATGCTAGGCAAAAGCTCAACTGGACACAAAGACTAGCAGCTGCAATTGGGGTGGCCAAAGGGATGCAGTTTCTGCACACAGGAATTGTGCCGGGTGTATACTCAAATAATCTGAAGATAACAGATGTTCAGCTGGATCAGAACCTTGTGGCGAAAATTAGCAGTTATAACCTGCCATTACTTGCAGAGATCACAGGACAGGTAATAGCTGATTAATTTATGTTTGGATGTGTTTTTCTCATTTGACTTTTCAATTGACTTGATTGAAGTTTCCATCTGCTCAGGCTGGCCGCCTGACTTCAGCAGGATCCAAAGACCCTGCAAGGTTTGTTCACTAAGTTTCAAGTAGCTTCCTTAGACTCTAAAGTTAATTTGGCCCCATGAATTGCCAGTGCATTGAAAATGGATTCTCTCCAGGGCCAATCAAGAAGCGAAAGCTGATATCTACGACTTTGGCATCATACTCTTAGAGATCATCGTGGGGAGACCATTGCAATCTAGGAATGAAGTAGATGCTATGAAAGACCAAGTAAGATCAATGAATGCCTTCCTTCTCAACATTCACCAAATGGGTTCGAACTTCGGAGTCAACATTCATATCGTGTCAATTCGTTCTTGTGCAGCTTCAAGCAGCTATAGCATCAGATGCAGCTACGAGGAGAAGCATGGTCGATCGAGCTGTTCAAAGGGGGAGCTCGATTCAGTCGGTGAAGACGACAATGGAGATCTGCATGAGGTGCCTAAACAAGAACCCTGTGGATCGGCCTTCCGTGGAGGACGTGCTGTGGAACTTGCAGTTTGCTGCTCAATCGCAGAGCAACGAAGTGTCTCCTTCCTCGCCTGGGCAGTTTAATCACCAACTACGTCTCAGCATCCTGTGATAAAATCATGAACGCAGAATTGAAGAAATGGGTTTAAGTATATGGTTGTACCATGAAACTAACAAATAGTGTATAAGCTGTAATTTATGTATACAAGAGATCATTGGAAGGTACACAGAAAGTGTATTAAACTATCACATCAATTGTAAGTTTGATGTGGAATGGTCTTTGTTGTTACCTTTTGGTCAATTGTATCAATTAGATCATGAGTGAATTAGTGACAAAATTAAGGGTTAATACCTTATTTTGGCCCGAACTATGACCATATAATCAACTTTGGTCCGTGGTTTCAGAAATTAACATCCTGGCCTCAACTATGCAGCATATAGACTCAATTGGCCAGATACATAGTTTGACCGTCAATTTGGACGGTCAACTCCGTTGACCGTTAGTCAACATGCCATGTCATTGTCTAGTCAGCCTAAAAATTATTAAAAAAATCTAAATTCAAATTATTTTCCTAATTTCTATTATTTATCATTTTACAATTATCATTTTACAATTGACAAAGAAGCAATACTGAAAAAGTTGGTGTGGGCACTAATGGTTGAACTATGGTTAAATCACAGTTTTATCATAAAATACTTTATAGTTAGCTTTTTCTATACGGCCTCCGGTATAATTTCATGGACCGTGATAAAAACTCGTACAAAATACTTAAGATGCCATTTTATTATATTTATCATGGCTCAATATTAACAAATGTACATAAATTGATACATATAGAAATAGAAGCCAGTTTTGAAACACATTCATCCATCCTCCCATAAACTTTTGTTTATCATGTTGAATATAAACCTTTTGTTTCTCAACCCATGAGATAGAAACAGACAATAATGAATGGATTGTATTGTAGGAACAAATTAAATCAACCCGTATTAAAGCTCGTTTCTTAAATAATAAATGCTTGCAATTTTCTACACAATTGTTGACACAGGAGGTTTTTGTTATCATACGAGTATAGATATAAAAATATTCAAAATCTTTACAGGTTAGGTCACAAAATTAAATTATTTATGCCAAGAAATGACCACTTCTGTTATAGAAAATTATATTTCAATACTAAAGTTTGATCCGAAGAAAATTTGACACAACTTGGCAATTACAATATATTTCAAAAGGTATAATCGTTATTTAGTGATAGCTAAAAATATTTTGTTATTAGAATGTTTTAGTCCTAAAGATAGTGGTTCTTGTCAAAAAAAAAAAGATAGTGGCGAATTTATGATTTAGAATGAGGTGGACTAAAAATAAAAGATAACAATACTTTTTTGGAATTGAAATCAAGTCTTGTATGAGGAGACTAATAGACTGTCATTCTGTAACTATGGAATTCAAAATACTAATAAAATTTTTCACATCACCATCCAAACTAACCAACCTTCAGACTCAACACACCAGACCCCACTAATATTGTATACTTATCTTCAAAATCTTTATGACCATTTCGTTACATTATAAAAAAAGTGTAATCAATTTGCTACAAACTTGGAAAATGTTTTGGTCCATTCAGTTTAAAGTAAACTATTTTTTGACCACCATTTACAATTTGGTTATACATTTGTATCATCAAATCATACAAAATAAAAATTTAATGACTATTTTGGACAAAGTCAAAAGTTGTATGTGCAATTTATCCACTTTAGATTACTACTGGAGATTGTTATTCGTCGCCCCAAAATAATTTATTCATTGCCCTAAATCTTATTGAATTTATACAAATGTCCTTTATTTTTTTTTTCTTGGATATCAGACAGCTTTTCAATCCTTCCTAAACGTTCCGGTTCAACGAAAACAAATTTGCCTCCCCTTCTTCTTCGGAATGAATACATAGTCGCCGGAATGAACACATAGTCGTCGGATTTGGGTATCAAACTATTTTGTTAGCAACCTCAATTAGAGTGGCCATTTGGGTATCAGACTATTTTGTTGGCAACCTCAAGTATAGTGATCATTTGGGTATCAGACTGTTTTGACTCAACGAAAACGCCGGAATGAATACATAGTCGCCACCCGCTGGATAATTGCCTCCCCTTCTTCTTCGCAGCAACTGACCAGCGGCGTTCGTGATCTGCCTCCCCTCCTTCTTCGCAGCAACAGACCAGCACTGCTCAAGATCTGCATCCCCTCCTTCCTCTTGCGCAATAGTAGCAACGTCAGCGGCTTCGTCCTCCTCCGTCCAGCAATAGCAACACGACAGCGGCAGGGACTAGTTCTGGGTTTTGCCAAGAATGGGAGGCGGCAGATTTCGGTTGGCAAGAGAACTGAGAAGGGTCTAGGTTTTATTTGGGGGTAGGGGCATATGTGTCATTTCAGTATAGTTTAGGGCGATAAAATTTAGGGCGACGAATAGCGTTTCAGTTACTTAATGTTCCGTCACGAGTAAAGTGAGGAAGTTTTTTTTAAAAAAGAAAATAGTGGTTTCAATGCATTTTTTTCCGGAATACTTTATAACATTGTGAATATTTTCTTAACAAGACTTGTCCCTTTGGGTCTAGACCTACATGGTGTTTGCCTTGGATGCATATTAATATGACTTTCTGTTAGGGCACTCATCATTGCATTGTTTCAAATGAGCAAGTTTAACTTTAAAGTTCTTACCAGAACTCTTTCATTTCACCCCAAAATACATCTTGCCGGTTAAGGTTGGAAGTTCATTATGAATTATGGATATCTCTCGTGCTTTGTCGATGTGTGATTTTCCTATACAGCATGTTTGGATACAATTCCGGAAGAAATGGAAATGGAAATGGAATTCAATTTTTTATTTTTATAGAATTCAATTTCCAATTCTAGTGTTTGGTATAATTACTACAACTATGGAAATGAATTGCACTTTTAACCATAATGAATAATGTAATATGTTTGTTTTATTTTGGGAAATGAAATATGAATGAGAGAGAAAGAGAGTAAAATGATAGTGGGTCAACAAAATAATAAAAAGTATTGATGGGTCCCACTAATTCCATCTTCATTCTCTCAATTCCTATCACTTTTGATAGGAATTGTAATTCTCATATTTTAGACCATTGGAATTCAATTCTCAACCTTTTTATTATTCCAAACATAATATATGGAAATGGAATTGGAAATGGAATTCCAATTCCTTACTTTTTTGTCAATTCAAACAGGCTGATAGTGTTTCATACACCTTCCTTTTTTACAATATCTCGATCGGAAAAAGGGTTGAGATGTTACCTGTGGTATAAGAGCTTCTCTGCATTCATTTTGGGCGATGGTGAGGCAAACTTTAACGATGATGTTGAGATCACGGGGGTGGGGGGGGGGGGGGAAGGTGTATGTAACATTTTAGACAAATCTAGCATCAACAAAGTACGGGAGAGATCCATAATTCATAAATAAGAAACCAATTTTAGTTGACAAGATGCATTTTTGTGGTAAATGAAAGAGCTCTTATAAGTACTTCGAAGTTATAGGTGTTCAATATAAAACAATGCAAAAATGAGCGATCTCTCGAAAAGTCACAACGAAAAAATAGTGAGTATGGAGACCCAAAGTGGAGCACTTATACTATGCTATATAGTATTGATGCTTTAATGTACAACTTAAAGTTGTACCATAACATTAAATGTATAAGTTTAGGGTGTACCATAAAACAATTTGTATCATTATTTTATGATACAACTTTACAACTTGTAATTGTACCATCACATAAAGATACAAGTTCAAGTTGTATCATAAATGAAGTTGTAACATCACAATAAAAAATGATAGGTATTAGGTTACATACTTCCTCGAACGATGATAAAATAAAAGTGTTGCTTGAGCCCGCCTTGGTCCATCCGGATATTCATCGAGGCAAGAGCCCATCTAAATCAAAGTTCAAAGAGAGCCGTAAATAAACACTGGCCTTAGAACTGACAAATTATCTCATTAACAATTTAGCTCTTCAATTATTAAAACAATACTTTTAGGTCTCCTATCAATAACAATGGCCAAATAGTTTCTGAATTCTGTCAACAAAACAGAAAGATCACTTTCTATAATCATTGAAATTAGAAGCACCAAGTTGCCCCACATAAAATTGACAGTTTCAAATTGACTTCTAAACAGCTGAAACGACCTAATCGCAAAGTTTAAAATTATAGGGATCAATTCTGTAATTTTAACTAATTCGTATGATTCAACAGTATAAATCCGAGCCGTAAACCTCCGCCTTCGGAGTTAGGCTTCTCTGGTTCTTACTTTCTGACTGTGAAGTCTTCTTCTTCTTCTTCTTCCAATTTCAGCTGAACCCAAACAAACTCTCAGCGGCGGAACCACCCAACCAAAAATGGCGGATTCCCCACCCACCGCTTCTCCTCCACCTTCTTCTTCCTCCTCTCCGCCTCCCCTAATACTCTCCAATCAACCTAACCCAAGCCCTAATTTTTTCTTCCCCGGTTTCTCACCCGCAGATCCTTCGGCATCACCACAACAACCGCCGCCGCCGCCGACTGACGTCCCCCCGGAGCCACTCCCGCAGTTCATCTCCGTGCTATCTAGGAGGCCTGCTTTGAGGGTGACCACAGAGTTCGACAGCGACAGCTCCGTGTTCTTCCACAAGGTCTCCTGCAAGCTGCTCGACAGCTTCGCGAAGCTCAAGCTCACGTTTCAGAACAACGGCAAACGGGAATTTTCCGAGCCTCAGATTTCCCTCGTCTCGAAGAATCTCTCTATTCATTACGATGTTGAAGAGCAGAATGCGCTCATTAAGACCTCCTTCGACGTTGGTTCCAGGCTCCATTTCAAGGGCGTTCATGATGTCAAGGTCCCATTTCTCTATTTCTCTCCGTGTTTCTCAACTGGGTTCGAAGTTTTTTTTGGCGATGGTGTCCATGGCTGAAAAAGATTTCGATTTTTTGTAGGAAATAGTGTGAACTTATTAGTTCGATTGTAGCCTTGTGGTGGAATTCGCTGGGCCACGTCCCGATTTCGCATTAGATATTGTTTTGATATTCATGTTATTTCCCCTCTCAGGCGGAACAAGGAGAAGTTGCAGTGGTGGCCAAACTTGCTGAACCTGGATATGCTCTTGAGCTCTCATCTCCTGTTCCTGCAGTTGGCTTGGTAATGAACTAATTTGGATTGTTGCATTGTTTTTAGCTATACAAGCTTTCATGATCCACCGAGTAGCTCCACTGTTTTTTTTACTCTGCTTTCTGATGCTTATTGCTAATAGAATGCGTTGCAATGGTGGTTATCGCTTTGTTACTTAGAACATTTAGATTGAGGAAGAATCGGGGGTCTTCTGCGCTGTTTTTTCATCATTTTGACGAAGGTTGTTTATGTTTGCAGCCTAGAGCAACTCTAAAGTTCCCTTTCGGTGAATTTTCGTTGGAGGAAGAGGAGAGAGCAGAAGAGAAACGGGCACTGTCTATTTCTATTAGTGGACTTGGTAAAGCTAAACTGTTGAATGGGCTTTGTTCTGCACAGTACAGTGAAGAGGAACTGAAACTAAGATATTCCTACAAGGTAGGTTCTAAATTTTGTTTCTTGGTTTATCTTATAATAATGGGGTTTTGCTTCCTTTGCTTCCCATCTCGCATGATGGAAATTATATCCTTTGTTGTTGCCATTTGATACCACTTATTCCAACACAAGTTATTACAGTTTCTGGTTTACTTGGTTTATTGGATCAACCATTTGGATGATGCATACCTTTTCTTTCACCCTATTTACTGATGGGGAGAATTGTTATATAATTCCAGGACGAGGAACTTTCGTTTATTCCCACTATTTCACTGCCTTCAAATGCTGTGTCATTTGCATTCAAGCGTCGGTTCAATCCTTGTAATAAGTTAAGGTAAGATCTCTCTGCTCCTTCTAGTAGGATGATTCTAATATCACCACAAGTAGATACTTAAGCCATGTGCATGCGTAGATGTGGCTAAATGTGTTAGTCTTTCTTTCTTCCTGTACTATGATTTGGAGGTTCAATGACAATTCATGATGAAGTACTTCTCAGTCATTTAGAATGGAAAAGTGAGTTGCAGCGTTAGGTGCTAGAACTTAGAAGAGAACCTGGAATGCCTACTTCTTTTTTTTTTCTGTGAGAATTAGGTTTCTGTAATTCATTACACTTCGACATGGAAATGGGCTTACTTGTTAGCTGTAACCTGTTGCAAAACTGCTGTATGATTGGTTATTCAAGGAGGCGTTTACGACCTGTAGCAGGTGTTAATGTGCATCTTTTCTCTGTTCTACTTGCACATTCATACTGTGGGTTTAATTGTCCAGCTACTGGTACCATTTTGATACCAACAACTGGAGTGCTGTGTACAAGCATAAATATGGCAAGGACTTCAAGTTCAAAACTGGATATGATTCAGATGTTCGACTCGGCTGGGCATCCCTCTGGGTATGTCTTCGTATTTGCCCTTCTTCCTTAGGTTTTAATGTCTACTCGGGATTTCCAGTTTTCACTTTGTTTGACTTTTGTTCATCACCACGATCCATTTAGGTTGGAGATGAAGGTGGAAAGGCTAAATCTGCACCATTGAAGATGAAAGTCCAATTCATGCTCCAAGTGCCACAGGACGACATCAAATCGTCAGCGTTGATGTTTCGTGTCAAAAAGCGGTGGGACATATAGAGTATGTGTAGGCTTCTGAAATCACCTTCTTTTCATCCTATACACCAATGTGAGATAAATAGAAGTTGTTCTTGTTATGGATATGCTCATTCTACAGCTTGGTTAGATGAATTTCTGTTTTCAGAGAAGTTAATTCATGTGAACCTAGATCGTCAAGCTATCCGGAAGTCTTTCGTTTGGAAGATAGACGTTGAATTTTGGGTGATAAAAATTTCAGTGCCAAGTCAAAGAAAAGTCTGGGTGTTGGTCGATAAAAGAAGACGCCAACTCTATAAGATCACAAGATTCCTAACTTTGTGATGGTCGCATGCATCTTCTTTTGTTTCATGACTTGGTGATTTCAACTTGCTGTTTTTCTTCTCAAAACAGCATCCTCTGTATTATTTTCTCATAAGAGCAATAAGAACAATTCCAAGAATTCGGTCCGGGTTCAAACATTGAGGCTTAGGAGCAAGGTTGTCAACCCGTCGGTTGATCCGAACACGGTGGAGCTAGTGGGTCAAGAGTTAATGGGTCACCTGTTTTAGCCTGGTTTAGCCTGAAAATATGAAAAGAGTCATTATATTGTACTTATCTTGATAAATTATATAAAATCTCATTTAACATATGAGTTATAATATATAATATTCCACCAAAATAACATGTCGTACTTAGATTCAACATATAGTGAAAATTCACACACACTTATATAACATATATATTCAAATGTTCAACTTAGGATTCCAAAAATGGAGTTAGGCGAAAAGAAAAATAGAAAAATAGGCGCACTTTGCAAACCAAAGAAAAAATGACACAATTTGACCTCCAACCCGGAACTTTATAGCGGTCGATCCGACGGGTGCTTGCGACCCGTTTTTTTCACCGGATCAGGGTCAAAATGGGTCGACCCGCGAGTTGACAACCTTTGATTAGGAGAAGTTCTCGAATAACAATAACATATCCCATAGATCACTGAATCCCCACATCCAAAAACGAAACTCTTCAGCATCTCAACCTGATTTGTACTTCCAAAATCGTCATCATAGCGATCTCTACCTCGTGTGGTATTCTCCCATGGGAGCACCATCCATTTGTTGGCCGCGTTTGCAGCTTCTCAACCATCAACATCAGCCACCACTGTGATCTCCTTGCCTTCACCACCACTATTCTCTAGTGTATCATCAACTACTACTGCAACTGTCGATTTGGCAATATCTTTTGTGTCGCAAAATTTGGTTGAACCGGATCAAATTGGTTTAAGGTTTGACCAACCAAATCAATTTGGCATTGGACCAACCAAATTGGTTTAGGGTTAGACCGCCCAAATCAAATATTCTAATTCCATGAAGGGACCCTGACATTTGATTTAGGGGCGGCTGCAACCTTATAGATAAGGACAACTTTATGGATAGAGACAACCTATTATAAAACAATGCATGGATTCTACCCTATAAATATAGGTGCGGGATGAACGAGGCAACATACCACGAAACTGATTCTTCTTTCTTCTAGCGGAGAGGGTGACGAAGACTGTCAAGGTCGCAATGTTTGCATTGCATAGGCGGGAGCGGGAAGATAGAGCTCCTCGAGGGGTGGAGGTGTTTGCGGGAGGCCGGGAGCATGAATTTCTGGAAATGAGGTGGCAACGGTGATGTTGTGTGTAGGAAGAAGGTGGATTGCAGGTGATCCGAACGACCCGCACCATATTTTTTACATGACAAAAATGTTATTTCTCGTTTATAGTATCAAATAGTCATCATATTCCCTAATCACACTATATACTGACCGTTGACTTTTAAATATGGAGAATAACAAGTATCTTTGGACTACTACTATTTGTTACTATACTGTGTAATGTCCATTAGAGACTGTGATGCAAATTATAAACTATTAAGTGCATCAAAGTCGCAAGAAGCGTCAATTTTCTCTACCCAATTAGTTTATGGAGTAATGAAAATTTTAATGCAAATACTACATGGATCCACACGAGTCAAATTGAGAAGCGTTTAAATTGATATACTCTTACTAATTTGTGAGAAAAAACATATTAATTACATACGTTAACCAACTTTTTTATTGCTAGTTGAAAAATTGATTTTTTGGGTCGACCACAACTAACCCGTGTTCATATTTCATCCACTCAACCCAACTCAAGAAAAAGAAAATGTGAGTGGATAACAAATTACAATAATACTAACTCGCTAATAAGCAGTTAATTTGACACTAAAAAGCCACTCACCCCTTCCATTACCCACCCCTAATCAGAAACCACAGGAAGCAAAAAATGATTACTACATGGGGCTTAAGTATTTGAAAGTAAATAGGCCTAAACTTAACACACTCAAACAAATGAAACAAAATTTTGAAATCTGAATGGTGAAGAAAAGAAAACTGGACAGAGAAGTATGATATAAGAGGTAAAATTCTTATACACGTATACGTATGTAAATAATCTACTAACGAATGTCCATGGATAAACAGACAAGGAACACATGCAAGAGTACACTGAACTGACGGAAAAGCTCTTTGTACGTAGAGTTACAGAGAGACCAAATCTGATCTCCTAGCGAAAGCAGCCGGGGATAATGTGGCTTTCCTCCTCGTCATCTTCATCGTTATTCTGCGACGGCAAAGTAATGTGGAGAGGCTCTATGCCGACGGCGGCGGCGGGTTCAGGGACAAGGTCGAAGTTGGAGGTGGTGGTGGTGAAGCTGCTGAGATTGAGTAGGTTGGTGGAGGCAGATGAGTTGTTGGAGTAAGCTGGCTGAAGGAAAGCGACTTGCTGCTGTTGCTGTTGCTGTTGCTGTTCTTGTTGATGCTGAGAGTTGTTGTTGTGGTGGAGAACATTGGCCATGGCGTATCGGCTGTTTATGAGCTGGTTCTGCACCATTGCTAGCTCGGCCTGCAGAGATGCTACCTGCACAGTTTTCTTGCCGCCACACAGTTTTGTTAAATGGTTAATGACACATTTAGCTATTAATTATTTTTTTTATATTATTTATCTATATTTGAGTCAGACTGGTGTAACCCTGACATATACGGTACTTTGGATATTCATGATATATAAATATAGATCATGAGCTGAATTATGTTTTGACTATGATACTATAAACGACTAAACTCTATGAGATAATTCCCAGACTCTAATTCTTCAAATTCAAATACAAAGATCGATTTAATAAAAAATGAAAACCGAAAATTATAATTTGTTGAAATACAACGAAGTAGACCTTACGGCCAGATCACTTGGAATATGATATACTCCATGAGTATACCAACATTACCATCTATATCATATGTATTTTGCGAGTTTCTTAGTCAGCGTAAGGGAAAAAGATGGTGATCCTGAATAGACCTGGCAAATTACAACCCGATCCGAACCCGTCCGAAAAGTAGAAGTTTTTATAATTCGAAATCCGAATGTTCCGAAAAAGATAACCCGTGATTTTTTGGGTCGGGTTGGGTGGGCTAGCGGGTCGACCCGTTAGACCCATTTTTTATATATTACTCCGAAAATGATAAAATCACTCATAAAATGGTGAGATGTTTAAAAAAATTCACAAAGATTTGAATGACATGTTTGGAGTTTAAGAAAAATCAAATATCATGTGCTTCTTGTAGTAGTATTACTTTTTTTATTTGTTTTTAACGATATACGCAATTTGTATTTCAATTCATTAGCATGAGAGGATTTGAGAATATGTTAATTAACATGTGTTAGGTAAACGATTGTCATGCATATGTGAAAATTTGTGTTCTTTAAGAAAATATGAAACATGTTTAATTTTGTTTCTAAGAACGCATATAACCTGAAACGACCTGTAACCCAATCCGAAATCGAATGGGTTGGGTCAATATTTGACCTGAAAATAGCCAACCAACATGACCCGACCCGTAACTGAAAGCCCCAACCCAAAATTACCCAACCCGACTCGATTGCCAGGTCTACCTGGCAAATTACAACCCGACCCGTTGACCCGACCTAAACCCACCCGAAAAGTAGACTTCTTTATAACCCAAAACCAGATGACCCGAACTTGATAACCCGTGATTTTTTGGGTTAGATTGAGCGGGTTAGCGGGTCGACCCGTCCCAACTCGTTAGACCCGTTCCTTTTTAACTATTTGTGCAATTTGTATTTCATTTCATTAGCATGGGAGGATTTGAGAATATGTTAATTGACATGTGTTAGGTAAACTATGGTCATGCATATGTGAAAATTTGTGTACCTCTTTTAGAAAATATGAAGCATGTTTTATATTGTTTCTGAAAGGACTCATAGCCCCAAATGACCTGTAACCCGACCCGAAATTGAATAGGTTGAGTTAGTATTTGTCCCGAAATCAGCCCATCTAATATGACCCGACCCGTTATCGGAGGCCCCAACCCAAAATTACCCAATCCAATTCGATTGTCAGGTCTAATCCTGAACCCCAGCGATATTAGGGAATTTGGTAGACATACCTTTGCTTTTGAAGAAAATATGAGGGGGAACTTTGAACTGAGCAAGAAAGTAAACCCCCTTTTCTTTAGGCTCATGCAAAAAGTAATTGTGAAACCGTTGAATTAAAAAAGATAAAAACAAACAAACAGAAAGTATCAGCTAATTAAGAAGACGCCATGCATTTCAATTCATGCACCTTATTTGTCGTATTTTGCCACGCAATATCCAATTATTTATTAACATTTTTCTTTCCAACCACCCATATATGACTGATGGGGCTGTTACAATTAACCGTTTCTTTCTGGATTCTAGTAGTAAAAGTAAAGTACTCAAGGATTAGAAAGGACAAAGTTCTTCACTGATCAGGGTAAAAAAAAAACACACACCAAAAGCTTGAAATTTTTGCGATCCACATTCCACCATAATGAAACCTTGATTTCTTTCGAGTTTGTTTCAAACACTCAAATCAACCAACGCCACGGTAATATCTAAACATATATCCTTGATTGAAATATGGGAGAAAAACAAACCACAAACAAACACTAGTAGATTTTCTCAAAATTAGGGTTGTCAGTTTGGCTTGGTTAATCAAAATACCAAACCATTTAATCATGAAAATCAAAAACCAAATCGACGCAAGTTCTAAAATATTATAACAACCAAAATTGTTAAAGGCCTTATCAGTAAAAAAAAAAAAACAAGAAGAAGAAGAAGCATGAAGATAGAAAAGAAGTCTACTATCTACACATAAGTTGGTGACAACATGTGTTGTTGGTGGGTATGGACTTAGTTAGATTTTTATCGGTTTCTTACTGAATTTTTCGGTTTCAACCGAAACCAAAACCATTTAGATGCATGTTAAACAATTTTAAAACCGAAAACTGAAATCAGTAAATTTCCTATCAATTTGATTTCGTTTAAGATCGAAAACCAAAATCGTTAAGCTTCTTAATTAATTATTCCCCATGCATTGCAATTGCATGATCACCTAATCAAGCTAGAAGAAATGATGGATGACAAAATTAAGGAAGCTAAGGAAATAAGAATTGGAGTTGGAGAGCATGCCTGCTGCTGCAAGGTAAGGATGGTGGAGACGCAGCCCAAGACCGGATCGGAGAGCCTGGCCTGAGCCTCGTAGGAGATCGTCACCACCGCCTCGTTCCGGCGGTTGACGGGCACGTGGAGCAGCAGCTTGGACACGTTGCTCGCCCCGAACACCTTGTGCACCGCCGCGAACCTCGCCGCCCCTTGGTCCGACCCGAAGTGCGGCGCGAAGATGCACCCGCTCACGCACTTCCTCCTCAGGAACTTGCACGCGCCGCACGGCGCTCCCGCCGCCGCCGCCGAAGAAGAACCGGCATTGTTATTGTCCCCCGCGGAGGCGGCGCTGCGCTTGCTCCCGACAACCACTGTCGGGACGCCCGACCGGCTGCGGCGGGCGGAGGAGTTGGGCCGGCCGTGGTTGGATGGACATGGATCCGACGACATTTGTTGTTGGCGGTGGTCGGAAGGAGGAGGAGGAGGAGGAAGGGAAGAAGGGAGAGGAGACGGTGGTGGGTTTTTATAGAGAGTGAGAGTGAGAGAGCACGTTGGTCTCGTGAAGAGGGGGCTGGGGAGGGAGGTTGGCAAATTAAAGCTGGATTTTGATGAGCCTTCTTTTTGTTTCCCCCCTCCTTTGTACATGTGATGGGGTATTATTATTATATTTTTATTGGGGTTTCTTGTTGCTGCTTATAAGTGCTGAGTAGCAACTAGAATGGATGGGTAGGTATCTCAATATTCATATTCGTTTTATGGTGGTTCAATTTCATATTAGACATATTTTTATTTTGATCTCGGGTTGGGGCAAGTCGATTGATGATACACTGATTGTTTGAGATCGGGTAGCTTCATTTAGTATGATATGGAGTGCTTTGGGTCAAGGCCGCATGGATTTACTTTTGAGTATCCTCCCCAAAACGACTCGTACTATAACTCATCTAGGTGCGTGGGTACACTAATATACAAGACTCCATTCCTTTGTATTTTCGATGTGATACTTGAATTTTACCATGACAATCCTCCCGTGAAAAAAAAAAAGAATATCGCAAACTATGTGTCATCTCTCAATGATAATCTTGATCCGCTAGACACCTTGTATTGCAAACCTCACTCTACACAAGGATTTATCATATGTAGATCATCCTTGATCTGCCTGATAGATGTGAATCTCCTATCAAACATACGCGGATCTCTATTGGATCCACCAAACATATGCATATCTCAAAATCCCGAGGTCGCCGAACGAGTGTCCACCGAACTGACATCTACCACCCCGAACGTACATAACTGAATTCGAACATGCTATAATACAATTTGTTGAGATTTGGTAGCTTCATTAGTACAATATTGTTCCCTTTGGGTCAAACCCGCACGGTTTTACTTTTGGGTATCGGCCTCGAAATGTCTCATACTAATTGGACTAGGTAGACAATAACATATAAGAATATTTTTCCTTGTATTTCCGATGTGATACTTGGATTATACTATAATATACATGTATTTATTTTTGAAGGGAAAACGGTTAGAATTATTAACTTTTTCATTAAAAACCGAGAAAGAAATTATGACTTGATAAACTAAGCTAAATTATTCAAGAAATGGAAATTATCATTTAATTGTATTTTTATTATCGTTAATCTATGATGTAATTAAAATAAAACTCTAAGTAATTAGAGTAATTACATATATTAAGTGTTAAGGGCCACAAAGCAATGAGATTTAATCCTTATGTTTACGGTAAGGGTGCTATAGAGTCAAACTGTGCCCAGTTGTCAACTTAGTTTAGTTCGTTGATTTGATTGAGCAACTGGGTTGAGAGTTAATGATTCGATTGATTTAGGTTGGTTTACTCTTGATATATGAGAAAGTCATTATAGTGTGAATATATTTATAAATTGTATCAATCTCACTAACATATGGTAATACGTAATGACAATATTACACCAAAACAACATTTTGTAATTCAAGATATAGTAATAATCAAACAATTATATCATCAATATTCAAATTTTCAACTTAGAATTCTAAAGATAGAGTTTGGCGAAGAAAAAACCCAAAATAAAGGCGTTGTCGTGATGACCTCCAGCCAGGGAACCTTGCTACAGGCCGACCCGTAGGTGTGTGGCACTCATTTGAATTCGATTTGCATAGCCGCAATAATCCATCACTTTTCTATCTCTAATGAGGGATGGGTGATTAACAGTACGCTAACCGATTGTTATCTGTTGCTTTATGAGATTTGTCATCTTCCAACTTTATTTTGATGAATCAAGTTAATTAATTACCAGAGGGAGTTGTATCATGTATGTTACATATATACTCGTCGTTTTCCATTTGGATTCTGTTGGGTTATTTTGTTTTTTGGTACAGGTGGTCAATTTTATTGTTTGCACGCAGACCAACCTTCACTGCAGCGGATGGAAGCCAAATGTAACACCATGCATCCTATTGGACTGAAATTTAGGTCTGACACGTACGAGCCATATCTATATATAGTAGTTTGTGAATTGAACTTGATGAGCAATAAATTTAACGTGGCTAATTACTTGAGTCAGTGAGGTTGTTTCTCTTATTTGACGAACTAAAAAAAAATATATAAAATACAAAAATATAAATTCATAGAATTATATCCATTAATCACGTATTTTTCACTTGTACTCATGAATATAATATAGTTTTTCAATTTTATTTTATTTATCAATCAATCCATTTTTTCAAGCAATCTTATCTGAGCTTAATTACCGGGGGAAAATATATTATATGAGCTTTGCTACTATGCTTTATAAGTCGGTGCTTTCGTTTCCAATTTTTTTATGGTACTAATTAAATTTGTATCTTTCACAGTATGATACAAATTCAGTCTTACCTATATTTTTTTTTTACAAATGTCTATATTGTGAAAATTGAACATGTACTTTTAACATATGGTACTAATTTAATTTGTGTCAATGCGTTTTTCGTATAAATTCTTTTATGGTACAAATTAAATTTGTATATTCAATATTGCGGTACAAATACAATTTGAGCTTGGAAGTATGGAGCTAATAAGCATTGTAAAATTATCCTATCTTATAAATTCAATTAACTAAACATCGTGATCCTGTTAGTAAACAGTATATGATCCACGATTGAATCTCTCCCAACAACGTAACTCGAGTTATTGAAAGTAACTGGTTCTTGACAGATCCCTTCAAACACATTATTTCGTAGCTGCTGGGGAAAATCTAGTAAAAATAAGATGATGAGACATATATTTTGGAGGGAGAAATACGTTTCTTTTCCTTATTATTGATGACTAGTAGTAATACTCTTTTTGAACAGAAATGATAAATTAAGCGTGGGTAATTGAGATTTAGGATAACTAACAAAAATAAAGAATTGTGTTCATCAGTTATGAGGGGTTTAATTAATTATCCTAACAATATGTATACTACTAGAAAAAGAGCAAAATGATGTTTGTGTGGTGATTACGGGCGGGGGTTGCATTTGCGTTAGTATGCATGCGTTGATGCATATGATGGAACGGGGAAGGCACAAGATTTGCGTATTTGGTTATGCATCGGTAAGATTATTTTGTTTAGTGGTTACGTCAAGAATCAATTAGTTTCAATAACTCGAGTTGTTGGTAAAGGTTCAATTATGGATTATATATTATTTACTAACACACAACCTCAAATGAAAGCCACTATACATGGGCTTGAAGTTTGCATAATTCCGGACACCATGTGCTTAACAGACAGATGACGGTCATCGGGAATCAAACAGAAGACCTCTCGGTCAAAGACGACTCTGGTTCTTAACTTTTATATTTCCAAATTTGGATTTGGATTATCAATTCGCGATGGAGATGTATTATATTTATGTTATTACTTATATTTTTTGTGTGTTAACAATGTAGAATTATAGTTGAATTATTAAAAAGGATCGGAAAATAAACATATATGTAAAGGTTGTTATTGGTTAATAGCTAAGTGCTAAACTAATCATTAACAAAATCGATAACAAGCGATTAACGATAAGAATTATCGGTTCAATTATCAATAACCATTTTTTACCAGTAATATAATTAACCACTAACTAACATCACCCTTTTTGTCATGTTTAGGGTTTCGTTAATTATATATATCCTCTCCTCTCCTAGCTAGCTAGTTCCTGTTGACCCACTGATCAAAGGAAATAAAACGGAAGAAGAAGAAGAAGAAGAAGAAGAAGAAGAAGAAGAAGAAGAAGAAGAAGAAGAAGACAATAATGCATTGCATCCCCTATAATATCCAATGCTTTATCCAATTCCATAACAGATACATCAGCATGCATGGAATGGAAAGGAATGGAAGTTCCATAGTGTCAGAAACTTGTACTTGAGGCTAAAAACAAACAAAGAGCCACCTGCTCTACATGCATCAAACCTCTACTTAGCCTACATAAGTAAATGGCCACTATAAAGTAGAAACTAACTGGGACACGACGATAGTCTTTCTGTCGAAACTGTAAATATTTATGTTTTATTAATTACTTAATTTTACATTTTTCTTTCTTTCCCCCAACAATGATGTTTTTTTTTTTCCCTTCTTTTCTCGCTTTTAAATATTCAAATCCGTACCCGCCTCATACCCAAACACGAAAGATTTTGCAAACCCATCTTTGTACCCGTGAGCTTCGGGTACACATGGGTAATACCCGCTTCGTACATCCAACATTATTATACCAAAGACTTTACATGTGAATTTTCAATTATAACACTAAACAGACCTACTATCATGCATGAAGTCAAAAAAGATACAATTATTTTTCAATACGGTTAAAATCATATGATTCTAAAAACATCCATTAATCAATAAGATAGAGTATAATACTTTTCAAATTATTAATTTCTAACTCTGATCCATCTATTAAGTAATAATTAACTAACATAATTATCTTGTTAACAAGAGGGAAAAGTGAAAGAATGAAGAAAGAATTGAATGAAAGGAATTAGGTTTGAATTTAGGTGGCCACTCAATTACATTGCTACTATTTATTTTCTTGAGTTACATTCACTGTTATTGATAGGTTACACTTTGATCCATCTATTTTTTTTTTTATATGTGAAGAAATGTTCTTGATGGGGCGGGTATGGGGTATGGGAGGCTAAACCATACCCATAAAACCTTTTGCGGGCTTTACGTATCCATGAAATCGGAGATTAGGGATTTTGACTGAACAGCTAGAAAGGAAAGAAGACGAAAGACTGACTGACTTCTTCTCGACTCGACAGCTAAATAAAAGAAATGGGCCAAGGATAGATCGGGCCCAAAACCAAAAGCCAAACAGATCAGCTTTTTAAATAACTCCACAACTCAGGCTTTTGGCCCAGAACAGTCTCGAAGAATTACTTGAAAGACTACTGATATGTTTTTGACAGAGGAGCAGAACAAAACAGGGGAAGAAGCAGAGAAGAAGGAACAAGA